AAGTCAAAAATACTTTTAACTGATTTTGCTAGTCAATAGTACTTTTGATTGGTTAAGAGTATTGACTGCAACCTATGTATATCCAGAGTTTTTTTAATTTACTGTGTTTGTCGTTTCTGACAATTGTCTCAACTTCATCTGAAAGTCCTCTTCAGGGGTATTACGATGCTTTTCGTTACAACATCTCGTCTCGCACTACGGGCTGCAGCTCGCGCAGCCTTTGAGGATGTTGGTGCTGCGGAGATAGCGATGGCAAGACACAATGATGCTGGCAGAGGTGAGTGAATTAAAAAACAATAATACGTGTACACTATAGCGTTGACTTTTAAGCGGTCGCCTTTAAAACCATCGTGATTATTTCTTGATGAATGCTTCACGATGGACCAACTGACTGACTTCATATATTCGTATCATCACTCACTGATATCCCATTCACCGATAGCGCAGACGGAGGTTACCATTCCATTGTCACACATATAAAAGAAGAAAGTTTAACAATACATTCAGATTATAATACACAAGCCTAAGTACTTTTTTTGTTAGATCCTAGCACTTCATTAGTCTGGTAGTCACACTCATTAAATAAATGAGTCGTTACATTTTCTCTGAAGTTACTAAGTCGAGAATATAATATCATCTTTATTACTTCTTTGTTGTGTGTTGCCTAGCTAACTCCACGAAGTATTCCGTGCGTTAATATTGACATTAACGTATATAAAGAGCAAATAGAGGAACATGTTTGAACAGATTACGATGAGCTATTTGGAATATCCTTTACTGAGTACATTTAGTGTATATCAAATATAAATTTTGCTTCATAAAAGAAAACAGGAACTTAGATCGTGGTAAAATTAATATAAGACCGGAATGAACCTAATATTACGTCAAAGGAATTATTTAAATTCGTTCGAAAGTAGCGAATATTGCATAATTGCTTAACATAAAAATCCTTATCCTTTGAAATTATTCTTAAACTTTCATCTAAAAATTATAACATCTATAAGAAAAAGAAGTAATAATAAACCACTAAACTAACTTTAAAAATTTTCTATGGGGCCAATCTATAAATATATTCTTTCAGACAAAAACAGAATTATCCAAATCAATTTACAAATGACGAAGTTATGAGACGTCAAACATAAAAAATACAACCGAATTGAGCACCTCCTTCTTTTTGAAGTCGGTTAAAAAGTGATGAAACGTAACAAATTATTAAAACCTATTCGTAGTAAAAAGGTTTTATGCGTAGAATAAAGAAAAAAATGACAATAAATTACAGCTGAGCTGAAAAAGCTATGCGCTGAGTTGACGGTAATGCCGCAACGTTTTCCTTATTCATGTATCTTACCACGAAATTTAAATGAGGGAAAACTCAAGAGGGGCATCATACATGCAAAATATGGCGGTAAAATAAAAAGCACGTTTAACTAGAGCCGTGTATGAAATCCGGGCGCAAAGCCGACGAGTAGCGCGTGACCAGTGCCCGCGCGTGACCACATTGTACAGTTGGACCAATGAAACCCAAAAATCGTGCGGTTTACAATATAATTATATTTAAATATATATTTAAATGTAATTAAATTATATTTCACAAAAACAAAACCGATTTCAATTGTGGCATAACCAGATTGTTTAATTTAAAAACAAAACGCACTATTTAAGATAAACATTGTGTGGTACCAATCTATAAATAAAATAATTACCATAACATAGTCCAAGTAACCATCAATGAAATGAAATAAAAAAATGGCATTCGAAGATTGATGGTTAATAAAGAAGGCTGTGGAACTTCTAGTAATAGAGGTAATTAATGTTCGAATGTTGGCAGTCACACACATACTAATGGTAGCGGAATTAAACAAAATAATTATAATCAAATAAAACAAATAAATAAAAATTTGTAAATAGAAGGTTATATTAGTCCAATTTTTATTAATTACTGTATTATATAGCACAAACAAGAAATATGGAAGTGGAAAAACGGTAAAAAGTTTTAAACTCCGATATAAATATGACTTTACTTTTGTCGCTTTTTGTATTTTTATATATTTAATTGTTTATTTATTGTTTTTATTTATATTTGTTGGTTATATTATGCAGGAAATACAATATTAATTCGAATACCTAAAATTTGTACAATATATAAAATATAACTATATTAAAACTTTTTACAATGTAATTTGTTCATATTACTCGTATGTTTCAGTATAGGAATCTTTTTATAATATTTACAATCCATAACTTTTCATAAATTCAAGGTTCATTTTTCAAAATAATAAACCCTAACACTTTTTTCAAACCATTAAATAAGAAAAGCAGCAAAATATTTTTTTTTTTCTCAACTTAGAAGGGTAAACAAGTTTAGCGCTTTCTAGCAGATGGCCCACATGGTGAAAAGCGCTAAGATAAGTAAAATAGTAAGATTGTAAATAATAAATATACATTTATATATTTTTTAACATACCTAATTTGTTCGCAGCAGTTTTCATTGCACGCTCTGTATATTCATATCACGATCATCTCATCAGTCTGCAAAATTTCCTGTACACTTTAATAATAAACTTGAACGTTCTAACATAGGAATTTAAAACAAAATGCATATTGCACAGAATTCTTTTAATTTTAATATTTACCAGCTGCGACATGCACTTTAACCCACGTTAATTAAAAAAATTGTATCCTGTAAGTAGGTAAATGCAGCATTCACTCTATCAGTGCACCAAATTTAATTTTCAAATTCATTTATTATTTTTTTAGTATTTGTTCGTTCAATTTTTTTTTCATATTTATATAATTATAATATGCAAATGACTCATTTGTCCAGCAAAATTAACCATGTAGGAAGAAGCACAAAAAATATTTTATCTATAATTATTATTGTATTGGGACCATAGATTAAAAATATGAACCAGTTAACTAAACTACCTTTTTAGTTGCTATTTATTATCTAAAAGAATTAAAACTGATCTTAATATTAATATATAGTATATAATTATAGCTATCTAAACAAATAAAAAAGTTGAATTGACCAACTCTAAATTTATAAAAACAAAACTCCTGCAGTTGTCAGCTGCCAGTGTCATTTTTTAAACTAAGTATTATAAATTTGTAAACTGTAACTTTGTAAACCATTTGAGCTTCACTGGGCAACAACTTGGTTTTTGAAACGAGTTGGCGACAAACTTTTTACCAACTCAATTCACGGCTCCTATCAACAGTCAAGCAAGTGAATATTCCATTTTAAACCATCTTTATAGAGAAAGCTTCTCAATTTATTTCTTTTGCGTGCGTGTGAGTATCTGTAGGTGTCGTTAGTATCTTTTAAAAAAAGTTTTCAATAAACCAGACTGAACATTTTCACTCACGAAACACGGATCAAAAAACAACAAAAATATTTGAATCTTCCACATAATAACACGTTGCATTCAGCTGTTAAGTTAATATGAGACACCGAAAATAAATATTGCATAACGTGGGTAGATTCTTAGTTACTACTAACGATTTCATTTTCAGTTTCGATTTTTTTATTTTTAATTAATTTACTACAATCAGGCCACCCTTTCCTTTCCTGTGGGTGTCATAAGAAGCGACTAAGGGAGGGCGACGGTTGGACAGCAGCGTCTTTCTTAAAACATCTCCAAAGCCTAACTGCGGTTGCCAATCCGCCTGCCGCGAGTTGCAACTAATAGCAAAACTACCTAAGAAGGAGGCTTATATCCAGCAGTGGACAGTTAAATGCTGATGTGATGATGATGACTATTATTTTAGCCATACCACCTCTACATAGATCGCAAAAGAGGGCCATTATGTCCACTTTGTATGACAAAATAAAAAATCTATGTGCATCAAATAATACTATTTGTATGAAAAGTTTCACCATAAACAGTACAACCGTTATAAGTATGTTCAACTAACAAACAGTCCCATTTACATGTAAGTAGTAAAAAAATACTATTTTATAAATGTTTATATATTAGCTGTGTGGTCCCGGCATAGAAAAGGGCCGTTCCTTTCCCGTGAGTGTCTTAAGAGGCGATTAAGGGATGGCGAGGGATAGGCAGCAGCATTCCTCTTTAAACATCTCCATAGCCTTTGGCGGTAACAGTGGTCCCCAAACCGCCTATTTACGGGGTTTTTCAGTAGTTGCCAAGCTTGGCAACTACTGAAAAACCCCCCAAGAGGGTGGTTTATATTTAGAGATGGACAACTAAAGGCTGATACGATAAGTAATAAAATACACAAAATTTCAATATTTTTATTTTATTTGGTGATTTAAATGTAAAGTGCATCATAATTGTGCTTATTTATTTTAATAATTTTAATACATTTCATAATTAAATGTGAGTGAAACTTATATAATATGGTAATTTAATAATACGAGGAAAATATATTAAATTTTACAAAAAGATGTGCAACTTTACTCAATCAATTTAAGTAGCAAAATATTTATCAATATTTTAATGTAATAATTACCGGTTTAACTTACATATACTAACGAAACTTTTAATAATAAAATATTGTAATAATATACATAATAAACACATTATTTATTTATTTATTTATTTATTTATTTTTTGGAAAACGTACAGCTGAATTACAGTCAATACATAATCAAATTTATATCTATGTTAAGCCATGAATCGTTTTCACATTTGCGTGATGACAATGATCGGTTTTTATATATGCAAAATACATACATACACATACATACATACATTCATACACATATATATACATACACATACACATATATACATATACACACACACACACACACACACACACACATACACATACACACGCATACATACACACGTCTATAATAATTAAAAAGTTATAAATTTTGATGAGACATCTTTTAGCTTGATATATAATAACAAAACAAAAGTAATATAAAGCAAAACAACATTACTAAAATAGTCTAATAGTAGTAATTATATAAATATATAATTTATATTATAAAATTTTTGAATCTATCTTAATAATTAAATAGTGCTATAGTAAATTTATACTTTGCTCTATTTCAAATAAATTTAATACTAATTTATTATATAAATATAAATTTAATATTTATAGATTAGATAATATCATATTCAGTGATTAACTTTCATTTTTCTTCAATACTCAATTATTCAATAGTCGACTTTAACATCACATAGTAAGAAAATGTGGCCTTAAATATCTGAAAAATAAATAATATTAAGTTTGAACATAAATTATTTATATATTATAATATTATGCCGCGTACGGTACTAAATATAATTAATCAAATTTATCGATAGATATATTTGCACTACTGTATGCTGTCACTACATATTTTGCTTACAAGCTCTGACTGATTGTTTGTTCTCTCTAGATATTTATTGTATGACTTCTTATGACAATAACCTTAAACATGATTCCTATATGTGCATAGTTGCTTTATCATTGAAATACAGTGATTCACGCAAAGGAATAGGGCTTTCAGTCCTCACTACTCACAATTTATTCTCCCAATATATGTTATCAAATAGATGACCGCGCGATGTCCCCTAGGAATCTTAATTAATTTAATTAATTCATGGTGAATTTATCACGATGAACCAACTGATCAGACTTCATCGCAACCTCGCCAGTATAACCCATCAATAGCTAAGCGTAAACCATTCTATATGCATCCATTTAAAAAAATCACTATTACCCCGGCATTATAAATCTATAAATAACTCAGCATATATACTATTTCATTTTAATCCATTTAATAATAATTTACTATTACCCCATCAGGGTAAACCAATAATCAGCTTAGCGTAAACCAATAAAAAGCTTAGCGTAAACCATTCTATATACCTACATCCATTTAAAAAAAAATCAGTGTAATCCCGTCAGTGTAAATCAATAAAGTGCACAGCGTAATTAATTCTATTATAATGGATATATCCATTAAAAAAATTATCACAAAACTTACATCAATCATAGGTTGCACTCCCGTTTTAATGCCTGCTGCCGCTTTAAACATCAATGGTGTTTGCGCTTGAGCTAGCATCATCAATATTGTTTTTTTATTGGGTATTGACATATCTTCCCATGGAATACTATATATAATATCGGAGATGTCGTCAGTCTAAAATAAGGAACATAATACCGGATGAAATTTAAGTTATTATCCATATGTAAATATATGAAACTGCCTTTGATTATTTACCAGAGGGAGACTGTACAAAAGTCGATTGCTTGGGTACCTCTGTCACATTCGTGTTTCAACTGTAAAGCAGTTGTGTTTGCATGACTGTGTTTTGGTTTGAAGGGTAGGATATGGCGTGAATTTACTGGGTACAGAGGAATAACACATGATTCCTCAGGAATAGCAACGCATGGGGGGTATCATGGGCGAAATAGTATACTTTGTTATGTCCATGGTAGGTGCTGCTCATGTCTATAGGCGACGGTTACCATTCTCCATCAGGTGGGCCGTCAGCTTGTTTGCCATTCCAAGTTGTATAAAAAATATATATATATTGAATATGTTAAAATAAATTTCAACATCAAAAATTCAAAAACGACAAATTAAAATTTAAACTTTCCATACTAACTAAACAGTTGGATATCCCGTGCTAATACGGAGACTCAACATTTTTATCGTTTTATGAACCATGTTTCTATGGCGAAAATACTCAGTTTTTTATACCACCAAATATGGCAAACAAGCATACAGCTCGTCACTGTAGCCTATGGATGCCTGCAACACTAGGCATACGTGACACCTCATGTACACGTTGCTAATCCTGAAGAAACCTTAATACACCATTTTTGATAACTCTATACTAATCTCTATTCATTACTAGTCCTCAGGAATAATCTCGGCAGTGAGCTCATTCCGCAGCCTGAACGTTCACTGGAAAAAAACTCCTCTGAAACTGCACTGTACGCAACCATTTAAGTTCTAGCGTGTAAGGATGAATTCTCTGAGGATGGCGAGCGTTGCGATGATAGATGATATCTGTGGATATCAATCTAAACAATTCCTCAGAACACAATCCATTATACAAGTAGTAGAGGGAGGCAAAGCCTCGCCTTAGACTTAAGGGCTCGATATCGCCTATGATCCTAAAGTCATCGATAATTTTATTTTTAGTAGTAAAACACTATCATAAAAGAACGCCTATGATATATGTTTTATCCTGTAGATATGGAATGGCAACGCATGGGGGGTATCATGGTCGAAACAGCATATTCTGTTATGTCCATGGTACTGCTTATGTCTATAGGCGACGGTTACCACTTTCCGTCAGGTGGGCCGGTAGCTTGTTTGCCATTCTAAGTTGTATAAAAAAAAATAAGTTTACAATGTTAAAAACAACAACAACCTACTTTAGATGCTGAAGTATTTAAACTTTTTTTGTGCTAATTACATAATTTGAAAGAAAGTAACATCATCATCATCATTTCAGCCTTTAGCTGTCCACTGCTGAATTTAAGTCTTCCCCTTTAGAGGTTTTGCCAGTAGTTGCCACGCTTGGCAGACGGATTGGCAGTGAGGCTTCAGAGATATTTTCAGAGGGACGCTACTGCCCATCCCTCGCCCTCCCTTAGTCAACTCTTACAACACCCACGGGCAAGGAAGGGATGGTCTATTCTATGCCGGGACCACAGGGTCATTCATATAGCCATAAAGAAAGTGACAACACGCTAATAATTAAACAACATTTCCAAAATCTTTTAATTATTATGCGTAAAAGCGTTAGTAGAACGTGTTCTGAGGAAGTAAAAGTAGAGTAAGGAGTCAAGAATATGAAGAACTGATAAGCACGGACGATAAAACTGATGAAAAAAAATATGTGCAGGAGAATAGTTCTTTGGCATTCGATTCCCTCAACCTACCTATTAAGAAATTTTGCATAAAGATAGACATTTACCGTGTCCATGTCATGTCCAATAGTGAAATGTTAATGGAATATTAAAGTCAATTTTTATTCACAATCCATCCAACTGTTTAAGCATAACTGTGTAACATAACATCCATACAATTAATATAAAAGTGTAAATATTCAAATGAATAGAATATATTTTCGAAACAAAGTAAAATATAAAAAAAAAAAATCACCTGAATTCGTAGTTCCTCTATAATGAATGATATTACAATAAGTTCAAACATGAGATTGAAAACCATTAAAGCATATATTGCAACGCTGTCTGTGCCCTAAAAATGTACATTCGTTAACTATATATGAATTAAAAATTAAAACTATTATAAGTATTGATCCATTATTTAATTATTAGTATTCCATTTTTTTACGAAATTTTAACAAAAGGTTATATAGGTATAATCTTTTATTATTGGGGGGAAAGGGATTGTTAGTAATGGAGACTGAGAATCCCATAGCTAGCTAGCATATATACCCAACCAAGTCGACCTCCTCGCGGTTCTCCCTGGAAACTATCATGGTTAATTCCTGATGAATTCATCATGATGGGCTAACTGGCCTGTTTTCCTTCTCATCTATCACCCTTCACTGGTACTCCGCCAGCTTATCCCGTTAGCGAAGGCGGGGCTACCATACCTTTTCACCCATCAAAAAACCTTTTATTAAAATCGCCAAATACTCCTATTCAGCATCGTCTTCGTTTTTTTTTAATAATATAATAATATCTTCAAAATTATAAATGTAAAAAAAATAATTACCCCCATCATCAACTGGTACAATATCAAGCTATCTACAAATAAATTGAGTAGATAAATTCCACCAATACTTAAACCAAATACATCCTGTAAAACGTTTTTAATCCTGAAAAGAAACACAACCTAATAAAATGCTTCTGGAGCACCATTGTCTAATACTAATAATTTAATTTGTAAGTTTCGCCGAATTACTATTTTGTAGATAATCAGTGTCAGTGTTTTTCAGTACTCTTAGTCCTCGCTTTTGTGTTGCTGTATTAAATTTTACAGATAAGTTTTAAGAATGGTGCCATAGAATCTAAACTAAACATCTTAAATACATTGAAGCTATTAGTGTCTATACTAATATTTCGAGTATACAGAGGAAAGATTTGTTTATTTATGATGGATAAACTTAAAAATGATTCAACCCATTTTTAAAAAAAATAATAATAAAAAGCTACATTACCGGCAAGTAACATAAGCTAATTATATTTTCAAAAATTTTCCAAATATTTTCCGGATTGTTAGTATAATATAAAATAAAATTAGTTTTTGAATAAAATATTACAATTGTCTTTTACTTCAAAATATACAATAATATAACTTAATATTCTATTAGGTATTTAATATTTTATAACACTTAGATTACCAAATAATTTACAGTATGAACAATACCACGAATATCACAAAATGCCCACGATACCCGTCATTCGTTGCCAATTTTAATAACTGTAATTTTAACCCTGCAATTTCGCTGCCATATTTGAAAAGCCATGCAAGCACAACTAACTGTTCGTCGACTGAAACACAAGTATAACAGTAATACATACGAACAACTTTTGTATCGAATAAAATTTATATTATTTCAATAACATTATTCTAACAGGTATCGAAATCTTCAAAAAAATATTATTTTTAATGTCATATGGAAATACAAATAGCTGATTATACATTACTATACGAGTACAATACCCATAGTATCCTTCATGCGTTGAAATTCCTAAAAACTTCTTAGTTCTTAGGAATGTCAACGCATGAAGGGTACTATGTTAAGCATCTGCATTCACTGAATGTAGGTAACTCAGGAGCGTTCTTTATAGCAGTATATGGGGAAAACCTATGTTCAGCAGTGAACGAATAGTAGCTGAGATAATGAAGATGTAAGGCATCTATTTCCTGTAATTTCACTGCTTAATATTGCTGATATTTTTTTTTTTTATTTCAATCTTTACTAACATTATATATCTGAAAGTAAGTTTTTTATTTATAATGTCATAATCCATTAACAGCTTAACTAATTACTATGAAATTATATATACACGTATTGTAGTGGAGAAGAATATAAGCTAAATTTATTATCCCGGTCAATAAACATATCCCGGTTACGCAGACGAAGTTGCAGTTAAAAGCTATTACGAAATAAAATTTATATAAATTGTCTTTTTTTCTCCTTACCCTTTTATAAAAGCGTGATATTTTAAAATATCCACCAAAATATTTTTCACCTCCTCTTGACTCAATTCATTCCATTTCGGCGATTCAATTTTATATTTCAAAATCTTTATATGACCGATCAAATGAAATATAATACATAAATGTATTGAATTTCCAAAAGCTAGAAGAATTGATGAGTATATCATTACGAAAACATTTACTGTATGTACAATTTGCCAGTTACGATAATTGTACAAATAGTCGAACGGCAACCACAAGTATATGCCCGTTAGGAATGTTCTCTTCTTATTCAGTATTAATTCCTTGTTTTTCAAGTTGCTAAATACCGGAATTATCACCCACAGGAAGCCGTCGACGACTACTAACAGTACAAAAGAACACATCAGCAGAAACACATATCTTTCAGCTCTTAAAAGTACCTGGAAATAAATTAAATATTATTATTTTTATCTATATACGAGTAGAATCAAATTACAATCTGTTGCACTTTTGGAATTTCGGAACTTCTCCCCAAATTACCATCTTGTAAATAATATGCATTAATTTTTACGTTTTTTTTTTTTGTACAAATCAAACCTCTCCTATGGAAGCCTATGTATGGTCAATGGTAAAAAATAATAACTGAAGCGATGGTGATTATAAAAAATAACTATGGACCTTTCTTCTCATTAGTTGTCAATCCTTCAAGCCAACAGTAATGTACCAAAATTAGTGTAAGGCATATAAAAATTAATAAGTTCATAATTCCACTCACAATAAGACATTTATCGTACGTTACTCTTACTTACCGTTTTCGTGAACGCATCGTGCTCTTTAAAATAAAATAAATGAACTTCTGTGAAGAATCTCTTCAATATTTCTTTATATTTTTTCATTTGTGCTATAAACAGTTCAATCTGGAAAGTGGAAATGAATACATACATTGAAAAACTAACTTTTGTATTCAGTAGAAGAATTTATATCATTTATAATATAATATAATAATCATTATCGAAAAGGATGAAATGTTACTGAGTGACGACCCCGTGCATGACAGTGCAGTGTGAATAACGAATTGAAATGACGACCTCAAGTGTTGTATGAGGAGAGGTGGAGTGGGTAGTGACAGAGGAGAGGGTGATCACTTTCATTAAAATAGAACCCAGAAATCAACGATGACATATTTTTGTAGAAATTAAATTTAAAATATTTGAATTTAGAACAGGGAATTCCATTTATATAAGTAGGTAGAAATCTTTTTTTAAGGAAAATTGTATTCCACAAAAGAGAATAGCGCCTTTGTCACAAAAATATTGTAAACTTTGTCACAAAAAGAAAAAATACTTACATTTATTAAAATCGACACTGGCAGAATAATAAATATTATTCCCATTGTTTCAAAGGTAAGTTTTTCATAATTAGCGAATAAAAATACAATCTGAAATACCAAAGAAATCGGAGCATACCATAGAACTAAAACCCTGTTTATCTTAAAAACTGAATTTTTACAATTCCGAAAACCCCATAGTTCTTGGTCACCCATTGCCATGAAGGTCATAAGATATGCTAATATACGATATATTAGTTTCTTTTGTGGAGGTCGTCTGAAAAAAGAATTAGCAAATTACTTCAGAACTCATACAGAATGTAACTATTTTCGATTAAAATTGAATAAGTAAAATGGAGTGAAAAATGGAAAAAAAAATATATTATTCATGGTATACTTTTCATCAAAAGGGCGGTCAGCTTTTTCCCCATTTTGAGTTGCGTAAATAATAAAGATTGTGTCTCTCCAAAAAATTGATTTCATTTCTGACAAAATCAGTTATTTTGATTAAAAAACTAAAGTGTTAAACCAATTTTGATAAAATTTCTATGGTCCCATTGAAATCTGTAAGTATATCCTTTCAGATAAAAAAAAGATTTTTCCAAAACTAAAACGGTCACAGTTATGAGGTAACAAACATAAAAAAACATACAACCGAATTGAGAACCTCCTTTTTTTTGAAGTTGGTTAAAAAAAATATTTTGTTCAATTGAGTGAAAAATAAAAGATAGCCAGGACATTAAATTATAACGCCGATTCGACATAGATATTAGCTTGATATCTTCAGTCTTTTTGGATAAAAAGCGTCTCAAACAGCACATTTAGTTAAAGATAGGCCATGCAAGTGGTAATATAAAGGTTTTAAATGAAACGATAACCCCGCCTGCGCTAACAGTATACACTAGCGGGGTAACAGTGAGAGATGATAGGCGAAGATGAAAGCAGATCAGTTGACCCGTCGTGACTTTATCAAAAATTAACAACAATAGTTTCTAGGAAGAACCTCTAGAAGGTCTAATACTACTTGTTACCTTTTTGATACAGTACATACCTTACCCTAGAAATAGACACAAAATGAACTTACAGATAGTACTCATCGTCTATTCTTATTTGGCCGGCATCTTGTCTCAAGAAAAACGATATAAAGCGATTCGAAGTGAAGTTAGGCCTAAAAAAATCATATGTAAATTATTTATAGTATAAAAAGTCATGACCTTTGTTTATCTATTTTTCTACTTTCTTATTCTAAACCACACAACGGATTTTCACACGGGTTTCACTGATATTTACATTTTTTTTGGCAGAATATCAATAGGTGAAATACATCCTAATTTAACTTTTATATAAGTAATTAATTTTATTTTTACAATCGCCTATGCGATTGTCATTTAAATTTAGACTACTCTAATACTTAGCCACAATGTATAATTAGGAATAATTTTCACCAAACGACTCGCATTGCATCAAATCGGAAAGATACGAATGGATGCGATGACAATCGGTCTTGTCCGGCAAGATGTCAATGTGTACAACTCCGACTCCGTACCGTCGCTTGCAAACGTATCCCTTTTTACGCTTAATCAGCTTCATTCTTACCATGTTGACGTGTTAATTTTTTTTCAAATGGCTGGTTGACGTAGTATTGTTGACTATTGCATTATAAAAAAAAAGAAAATAAAACGCAGAAGAGAAAAAGAAAAATGAGTGGTGCCATCCAACCATGGCTTTGAGCATACGCGACGACAGCCTGGATCTGATTGGATACAACGACAGATGAATGGGGCCGATTGCGTATCGCCGCGTACTTTTGGCTACGACCGCGTGTCGCGGAAGACGCCCGCGCTCAAACTGCTGTACATGAGTTAGTAATATAGACTTTAAATGCTATGTACACGATTTAATATCATTTAAAGATTGTAAAATCCATTCTGGTCCGATCCAATGCGAGCCGTTTAGTGGAAATCATCCTTTAAAGAAAGAGATATAGAGTGACTATACTACTATCATATAGTTTAATATTACTAACATAACAATTAGTTATTAGCAATCTAATATTCATTCAAGTTCACAACCAAATCGATTTCCCAGTAAAATCGAGTTTTAACGACACGAGTGAATCGCCACCTTTAAGATCATTCGGTGAAACGACGTCATATTCTCGATTCGAGAAATTCGATTTTATGACATCATCCCGTTATCTTCCAGTGGCAGGCTCAAAATGTTACATTTAATAAATCTATGTGACAATTCTTTTGCATAAATTTCAAATGATTTCTAAAACATTATTTTTAGTTTAATAAATGAATCTATATATATTTTGGCATGGCAACTACTGGCCAAACCTCCCTTATGAGGAAGGCCTATGTTCAGCAGTGGACAGACAATAACTGATAAAAAAATATAAATAATATCTCCCATGTGTAGTTTTAGTTTCATTGTGTTTAATTCTTTTTTATATTTACAAACAAAGGAAGCTTGACAATTTCCCAATTCGCTCCCTTAACTATCACAATATATAAAACATGATAAAATTTAATTATTGGATACTTTCTAAATAATTTATTGCCATTCTGCGAAACTTCTGCTCATGCACTCATACATGCTCAGCGTGATAATGGTAGGTTAGTTTTTCTTTTGATTAGGAGAAACCTATGTCAGTGGAATGGATATAATAGCAATGACGAAATATATGAAATTATTTCGTAACCTACAGTAACCGTTTACCATCAGACAGGCTGAATTCTTGTTTGCTACCTTCACAAAAAGATTTTTTCTAAATTTACAATGTGCCAACTATAATTTGTTACTATTGTTGACATACTTCTAGACATAAGTTTGAAAATGTTTCTGACCTTACAATTGTTGATTTACTAAACAACGTTTACGATAATTTGTGCTTCCGTTGTAAAGGTGTTTATGTATGGTAAATTGCACAATTTTATGTTTAACAAGTTGAGTATAAAGCATTCAAATGTTTGATATTAATTATTATTATACTAGAATTTCGGCGTGGTTTCGTTCAGGAAATTCTTTATTTTTACTTCCTCGCTAACATTACGAATGTGGAAAATTTATTCAATTAAAGCAATTTAGAAATTGAAATTTCTAAATTTCTACTCTAATATAAAATCTCAAGAACGTATTGCCGATGATTGTTCGTAGCCAGATTTATTGCAAGAGCAAAAAATGTTCAAAGGGAATACTGTAACCCCAAATTATTAATGATATCTCTAGACCTCAAAAGATTGAAGACCCAATTGCATATAAGAATAAACTCATTTTGCGTAAAGCATTTTATTTAGCATTTTCAGCTTCAACAAACTGTAGTAGTTGTACAAACACCTTGATTATCACTGTCATTACCGTGATACCAGTGATAAAATCACTAAAGAAGTCAAATTCTCGCGTTGCTTTATTTCTCGATTATTATGTACTATCATAGAATACAGCTTCTGTGTCGTAAAATCCTCTGTACTTCATTAATTATGTCCAAGCTGTATTTTATTGTCACCTAAACTAAATTTAGTGTTCTAGCAATTTTCCTATTTAGGATCAACTCTCCTAATACTTTACGTCATTTTTGATAGTTTTAGATTGTCTCAGGTGTTAAGCTATTTGCCAGCAGATTTATTAAATGGTTCAGGCCATAGTGGTCGGTGGACGTTCTCTTTCTCATCTAATTTTAATTGTATGCACGATTTTAAATATACGCACAAACAAACAAACAGCAAAATATATATATTATTATTGATTTGTACAAATATGTATAAAATGCTTGTACCACGGACAGTTTTACCAGATTACCGTACATCATGTATCGAATATTGTTGGCTGTGACAATCTTACTAACTACAGTTCAGGTGAGTATATTTTAATAAAAATAAATAATAATAAATATTTAGAATTTCTCGTTTTCATTAAATACATAATATTGTCTTTAATAATTTAGGTGTACGCCGATGAAGATAAAGAAAAATGTACAGAAGTTTTATCTCCTGTAAGTAACGAAATGGATTTTCTGTTTTTATTTCTGTTTTACAACATAACGATACTGATGAACAATTCATATACCTCACAAACCTTAAAATGGAATCTCCGCAAAGTATCTCACGTATGTTTAAATACTCACACTTTTAGTAGGTACAAGTACCTTATACATACGTAATTCCCATTATATCAGTTATTCGAATATCACTTTTTCTACGAAATGAAATAAGTATTAATTAAATTTGTTCAGGGAATATAAAACGATTATATTTCATACTCTATTTTTGATCTAAATAGTCTAATTTTGTATTAACAACCGAACAATTGTAAATGAATTTTCCAACCATTTCTTGTACTTAAAACCTTTAAATATATTTCCTACAACAAACAACTACAGAATGTAAAATAAAAATATCATAAAGCTTTATCACTCAATCGAATATAAACTCAACTTTATCAATCAACTCTTCTCATTTTAACCTTTTCTCATATCTATTCGAGGTCGACCTGATTTGTTTTCTTCTTTGATTCTTCTTTATTTAAAGACTTCTCACTAGTCACTCCTTTTCTGGCCATGTCATCTTTTACGCAGTCCATCTCTGTCTGAGTGTTGTTCTACGATTATAACTATCCACATTCATACGTAATACCTTTCTTACTACATTCTCTTATTCCCTGTTCATCACTGGCCCATAGTCAATTGTATTTTATGACATTGATATTAAAAAATCCACTTGTACTCTTTCATAGAAAAGATGTCAATAAATACTTCACCGATTTCCCCATTTAGGGTATTTTCAAAGGTATTAATATACAAAGTTCTACCAAATGTATTATATATTATTTACAAATGATCTACTTTAATACTTTCTCCGTATGGTCCCGGCATAGAATAGACCACCCTTTCCTTTTCCGTGGGTATCATAAGAGACGACTAAGAAAGAGCGAGGGATGGGCAGCAGCGTCCCTCTTAAAATATCTTCAAAATCTAATCTTGGTTGCCTATTCGTCTGCCAAGCATGGTAACTACAGGCAAAACCCCCAAAGGGGAAGGCTTATGTTCAGCAATGAACAATTATAAGCTGATGTAACGATACTTTAATAAATATGTGCTTCAAACAAGAGTAGAATATAAACAAAATGCTGTATGTATAAGGCAGAATTTAGTAACGGCACTCTGTTCAACAGAAGCCGATTCGACACAATAATTTCATTGTCAAACTGGCAAACCCTTCAACAATATATACCTAAACGGATACATATTCTGATTGCACTATGTCCCTGAACTATACAATTTATGCAGTTGTGCAATTAACATGGTGACAAATTATACTGCTTGAATGCAAATTGTCAATCAAAAGCCTATAGTGATCAATTGAGCCCTTGACTGACTGACTACATGATTACAAACATCTGCATGGTTATACATGGAATACGTTGTGTAATATAATTATTTTAATATACGAATAGACATCTAATAAAATTACTGGATTGTCATGTCAACTTTCTGAATAAAATATGTTTCTAAGCCCTTTTTTCTTTGTCCTTGCGTGCAAGCTTTTTGTTTTGTTTTTGTTTTATACAACTTAGAATGGCAAACAAGCTGACGGCCCACCTGATGGAAAGTGGTAACCGTCGCCTATAGACATGAACAGTACCATGGACATGACAGAGTATACTGTTTCGCCCATGATTCGTCCTATGCGTTGCCATTCCTGAGGACTCAGGTGTTATTCCTCTGTACCCAGTAAATTTACACCATATCCCACCCTTCAAACCGAAACACAGTCATGCAAACACAACTGCTTCAACTTTGAAACACGAATGGGACAGAGGTACCCAAGCAATCGACTTTTGTACAGTCTCCCTCTTTTTGTTGTGCTTAACAAACTTTTTTTCTCGTATTCTCAATTATTACTATCCGATCTCTTTGCAACAAGTACTGAATATCAAACAAGTTATCTAAAATGCTATTATTATCGATTGAGTTCGATATTCGTACTGTAATTAGGAATTTATGTGCTTTGCTCGTTTTTTAAAGTGAAACTCTAAAAAACAAGTTAATTTAAAACAACAAATAATTATTCACTTAAAACATCCTTTACAACTAGGTAACTAGAATGTTATGAGAATTGATAATACCATAAATATTCAAAATTAATACATTGACTGTTTCTGGCAACTATGCTCGCGTAAATCAGTAAAGTATCCTATGCGTCAAATTAGGATATGACCTATCCATGTATCAATTTTCATTGAAATCCATTAAGCCATCTAGGCAAAATTGAGAAACAAATATACAAATATATTATTAACAGTACTAGATATTCTAAATGTGTTATACCGTGCTAAGAATATTTTTATTTTAAAATATACTACCTTAACGTGACTGGGACTTAACGTGTTTAAAAATTTTTGCAGGTAAATTGTACCTGTTTCTTTATTGCCGACGGATTATAAATTTTTCATTGCATTAAGTCCCGATAGTGTATTTAAAATGTGTGTAAACAAGTTCAAAATTAATTATCCGTATTTTTAATTAAAAATTATATAATTTTGTTAATTTTATTTTTAATCTTCCTTCTTTAGCGCTTAATCTAAAAAATCTTTTGTATATATAATTCCAGGGAACTTTTCGTTGTTGCAAGAAAGCATCGTACAATGGCGGTGTAACTATATCAATTGAAACGCTTCAACAGGACGAGTCTCTCAAGGAATGTTTCCAACAACCTGGGAGACCAGAGTCAGTAAGTAGAAATGCGGTGATTTTCTAGTTTTGTCACGCAAGAAAAAATATTAAAATAATATATTTATACAAGCTTTTTGTTTGATTTTAGAAGTAGAAAAATCAATGGAATAGACCAGACTAGATGGCGTATCAAAATGTCTGTTTAGCAGTAGACAATTAATTCATGCTGATATGCATGCTAACCCATACACCAGTTTTTATGTTACACCTTCAGAAATACAACAATAACAACCACATACAATTTGGTGTATAAGTTTATACGTGATACCGGAACAAACATACAGACAGATTATAGTTTCTTAAAATTATTATTATTATTGACTTCTATTGCTCCTATTAAAACCTCTTAGATCTTTTTTTTTTTTAATATTTCCTATGTACAGACACAGTCCAGTTCGAATTTTGTTACACACATCTGTCACATTACTTTTTAAGATGACGACCTTCGAGGCGTAGTGGTAAACACGTTGGTTTGCATGGTGAGGTCCCGGATTCAGTATTCGATCGGGTCAATTTAAATTGATCGGGCTAATAATAAATTAGAGAGGCAAACGAGTAGACGGTCCACCTGATGGAAAGCGGGTTCTGAAAAGTCATGATCAATAAGCTAGTTAAAGAACCTTATATTTTTTAATCTTTAATATGTAACTGTTTTAAAATTTCAGTGTGCACGAGAAATATGTATCGGCAATAAAAAGGGTTTTGTTACAATCGATGGTAAAATTGATAAGGCAATGCTGAAAATGAATATTGAAAGAGATTTTAAAGAACAACCTGTATATGGGGATATTCTACAAAATTGTGTTAATGGTGATGTCTCAAAATATGGATCCGACGACATGTGTGATATAATGAAGCTGAGACAATGTTTTGACTTGCAATTTCTAAAAGTAAGTTTTATGATTATATGGCCATCATCTCATCAATAGAATAAGGCTAGGATAGCCTTATTCTATTTATATATTAGGGATCGACGTAATATGTTTTTCTCTTCCATCCTTCTCTATTCGTAGTCTTTTTTTTATGGGTGACAATGGTATGGTAACTCCGCCTGCGCTAACAGGATACGCTGGCGGAGCACCAGTGAAGGGTGATAGATGAGAATGAAAACAGGCCAGTTAGCCCATCATAGTGAATTCATCGGGAATTAACCATGATAGTTTCCAGAGAGAACCACGAGGAGGTCGACCTGGTTGGGTATATTGCTAGCAATGGGATACTCAGTCTCTATTACTAACAATCCATTTCCCCCCTCTCTATTCGTAGTCATATCCGCATTCACTCCCATTCTGATCATGACATCTTTCACATTCTATCTGTCTACGAGTCTACGAGTATTTTTAATAGTTCTTCTTAGAAAAATTATTAAAGTATTCGTATTAGTAAATTACCAATGCCAAATATCATGTATAAATAAATAATAATAATATGCATTATACAATACAGAGTTTAAAAAAAAATTACAATAAATACACTTTGTATTCAATAATCGTTTTTATCTGCATATATGGTTATTAACTCTCATAAATTAACGAATCAGTCTTTATATAAAATATTAATTTATATATTGTAATTATTTATATAAGGCACTAATTAATATTTAGTCCATGTATCAGTTCTAATGTTTCTAAATTCAACATCCAAAGTGTTTACGAATAAAATATTAAATAGTTACTGAGCGTTGAATGAATAAAATTATAACTTTGCATTGATAAATACGCTAATTATAATATAGATGAACATGTGTAGGATTTAATGAATAATGAATCATTAAAAATCTTTATACACTAAAATATAATTACACCAAAAATATTTTAGACCATGCTGTAATTAAATTAAGCAATAGACACGAAATCGGGCAAATTTTTTATATATTTGATAATATATAGATAATAAATGTATAAAAGTATGCTTTCATCCCGATCTCAACGAACCTATATTCGTAATAAAATTTAATTTCAATCAAATTTTATGCAAAACTCAGTGAAGATTCTTTAGTAGAACGAATATCTTTAACCAATTATTTAAATGGACTAAAGAATAAAATGTACTGAAAACTACAATATATATATGACTAACTTTAAAATCGATATAAAAAAAATAAGAAAAATAATAACTAATTTTACTATTGCAAAACCAACAACTTACCTCATATATTTTGATGTAAGTACTTACAAGAAAATGAACGGAGGTCGCAATCTAAGTAATACATAAGCCACTTAAACGGAGCCCGCTTTGAGCGAGGGAATTCCGCGACGTTGAACATTTTAGTTTCTTTGTATTATTTTTCTTTCTATTATTCCCCAATCTCTTACAATAACTTCCAAGAGCATATCAGAAAACTTAGAGATATATTTGTTTTAATACTTTGCAAGAAAATATTTATTGGCACTACATTGGAAATAATAGAAAAAGATTACTATGTTTTTGATTTTATGCCCGCAAATACCAATAGGCCGTAATGGGTATCGATTTATTTTAATACTAAGTAACTCTGTGATACAAAAAAACACAGTCACTTCAATCATGACTAGTAACTTACAATAAATATAATAAAACGCACCAATAGTTGATGTATTTCGTAATCACATTCTATTTTATTTCAATACAAAATAATACAAGTGTTAGCACTGGAATAAACCATAGACCAAAGTAAGTCTTATTACAAAACGATTTTTATTCCTATGTCCTAGACTGTCTATGGTCTAAAGGTAGAAAATATCTAGTTTTGCGGCGGTTTAAGAGCAAATTTTTATTTTTAAGGTTATGTTCATTCTTGCGATAAGACGAAAAATTATTGTTTTTATTTTATTTCGACTTTAAAATATTATCTATTAGATTTTTAAGATAAATTATAAGTTCTGGCTGATAATTTGTAATTTGTATAAATTGTCTAATGATTTTATAAAATATTTAAATTTATATTCCATTTCACGATACAATTGCTACGAAACATCGCTAGCTAATAATTAAATATATATATATATATATATATTACAATATCAAAAAATATAAGTATATCAAGTTATTTGAATAGGAAGGTTAAATAATATATACTGATATATTTTAATTTTATAAACATTATTTCAAAGTAATAAATCTTTAAACAAAATATCAGTATTCTAGTAAAACGAAACACGCAATTTATTGATGACCGAAATGAATGAACGATTATCGTATATAATCTATGGAAACATTTGATACACAGTATAATACTGGTATTAAATAGTTCTCCGTCAGTTCGGATTTTGTAATAAAGTCAGGTTTACGTTTTACATTATCTGTAGACTTGCTTTAAACCTCAACTTATTAATTCGGGTATAGTCCTTGTATTAACGAGTTTTTGTAACAAGACTAATTGCATTTAAAGTATGAATTTAGATGAAGAATCTTATAGGCAGATTTTGCTTAGCAACAAGTAGCATTTTGCGCTTTCAATTATCACAAAATTAATGTTACTTGCAAGTATTTTCAAAATGAGAGCAGAATTAAGATATCTCGTAATGTATACCGAAAAAATACAAACAAATTCAGAACCTCATTCTTGAAACGTCACTTACTAGGAATACGTATTCCATAATTTTCTTTATACGCTGATGATACAACTAACCATTATCTATATTCAGTTCTCGCTACGAATTTAATAAATTTAATTAACCTAGATTTACTTTGTATATCACTAAGAGAAAGAATAATTTTATTAAAAATACAGCTAGCTCTTCGCCCTTTTAAAAATTGTAATAATATGCACGAAGAGAATTTTTCTAGTTTTCCATGAGAGTTGATTTTAAATTATGAAAACTAATTAACATATTAGAATTTACATCAATAATTAATCGACTCGGCAAACGATTTTGCTCCCTACCGTTACCAACCGAGTTCATTTTTTTCTTATCGTGATAAAAATTATCCGATCTCTCAAGTTGAAGTACCTAAACATTTATAAAATTTCATTAAAATCAAATGAACGAAAATTCGAAGAATAGCCTAAATAGGCATCGTGACATGGGATTTTAAATATTAAGATACTAGTATGTAATGTAAAATTATATATATATATATATAGTGTACGTTTTATTAATTAAATATTTATTTAATTTTGCAGAACTGCAATGAATGGGACGACGAAGCACCATGTACTGGTACAAAGGATTTGATCGAAAAATGCTCTAAATTGTATTCCTAAATATTAGACCACCATATGTTTATGGATAACTACTTGAGTTCTTTATTAAACTAGCATTATGTTTTCATAGTAAATATTTTTTTTTATAACCTGATAATATCTAAACGATCACTACTTGCAATATACTAGAGGCATCGTTGAATCTTTACGAACTCTCATAACGCAGAAACCTTAATTTAAAATCCTTAAAATTAAATTTAGTAAGATTAATTCTTAGTAAGGATTAACCTTACTAATATTATAAATATGAAAATTTGTTTATTGATTGTTACGTACACAGCTTAAATAATCACAATGAAAAATTATTCACAGGTGCTATATGAAATAGAAAAGGATACAGGCTACCTTTTATCCTGGCCGGTGAACTTATCCATAACTTAAACACGAGGGCGAAGTCGCAAGTGTATGGTTGAATCTAATAATTTCATTTATTTTTGTTCCTTTTTCTAAATTTACTTCTAAAACAGTAGAATTATATCGATCTTATTATATTATTTAAATATTATTCGAAGTACTACAATTTATGTATCAACGCTTACAGTCAACTGCTATGACAAAATTATGTTTTACTCTAAATAGACGTGTCGAGAGTAACGTTTACCATAACGTAAATAGTCGACAAATGACTCTGTCTTTTTGAACAAAACACAAAACCCCATTGGAGATTATAGTTGTGCGCATATTTATTTTAATTTAATTTATAAGTTATATTATAGTTACAGATTAGAACTCCTTTCATGTATGTTTCAGCCAAAAAACCTCTTTGGTCCGTGAATTTAAATTAAACCTAAAACGAGATTTCAAAATAACGCAGCAAACTTAACCTTCCACCTCTCAAAATGAAGGTCTGAGTGACGTTCTTTGAATAATTTAGACCGAACCATTCAGGTTATTTCGACCACACGTCATGTGGAAACTTTTGTGCCCGCCTCGCCTCAAACGAGTTAAGTTTCCTGCTCAGAAACACTTCATTTTATGGCATTTCTCGATGACAACTTGTGTAGTTCTCGTTCTTATTAAGGACTTGGTTTATATATAAGTTTATTATTGCTGAGTTTCTTTCTAGTGCTTTAATTGCTACGTTGTTTCATTTAGAGGAAATTCCATAATATCGACATTCCAATATTGACGCTGTTGCAATGCAGTATAGATAACTTACAGATTCTCTTATATTTATTATATTATTAATACATCAGCCATTAACTCTCCACTGCCGAACATAGAGTTCCCCTTATTGGGGAGTTTTGTTAGTAGTTACCACGCTTAGCACGCGGGTTGACAACCGCAGTTAGACTTTAGTGATGTTTTGAAAAAGATGCTACTGTCCATCCCACGACCAGTTCCAGTTCTCTTATTCGAATCTTACGATACTCATGGGAAAAGAAGGAGTGGCCTGATCTATGCCGGGACCTTAGGACAAATGTAATACTAACAATATAGAAAAATATACAATAATCTGTTCATATATCATGACTGAGTATTAACACACATTTATATACATATATATAAAAATCTTTAACAAATTTAACATTTATATATATAATATTTCGTTTTACTCTTATATTAAATAACACGAAATATAAAGCGTATTAAACGAATTCTTGTATTTAATTTTAACCGCCCAATTATGTTTATAACCAAACATTGATATACAAAAAAAAAAACAACACATTTTTGTAGATATAGTTGCGAAAACATGAATAGACATTAGAATGTGATAAATATTATTATACGTTTTGTCTGTATTTTTATACAACAGTACCAAGAGAAACTATATTTTAGCTTAAAATTGTGTACATGTTCATAACGTTTTATTTAATAATTAGAAAACCGTTAGCCATTCTAAGAACCACAAACATAAAAATTTTATTGTGATGGATTAGAAAGTACATACAAAGACTTCACGACACAGGGAATCCTAATGTGAAGTTTTGGGAACAAATGTAAAATTGAAATATGTATTTTTTGACCTAATAAATATTATTATTATTATTACATATCTATTGTTTCCTTCTATGTTTGTGCAATCGAAATGCCTACTGAATAAATTTAATAACTTTAACAACAAAATTTTATGGATAGGCGATATTTACTAATGTTCATGGTCAATCTCTCGATAAAAAATTCACTTATGTACAATACAGTTATCGTCACAAATGAAAAGCGTGAGATATAAGAAAAAAAGTCCTTGGGACTCTTTTTCCTCTACTTATCTCTTAAGAGGTACGACATGAAAATAGATAAATAAGTAACAAACTTACATAGTAGGTATTTTTTTATAGTTGTTCCAATTTTTTTATGTATTGATCAACGGAAGTTGTTTTGTTTCACTTCGTAACTGCAACCAATTCGTTACGTAGCGCCCGTGATCACATCGCCACATTTATATATCAACTATGTAATTTCTTTCATTCATTTACAGGCTGATGTTTTTATTGAAGACAAATTATTTTCTGATGTAGATAAAAAAAGAAACTCGAAATCATAGACGGAAATTAACACCAATAAATATCGCATGTAATGACATAGCAGTCTGAGACATCATTATAAACAAAACGCAGAAATATGAGCAATATTAGAATTGTTTTGTCTTGCTTTTCGTACGCCTTTATTTCAGTAGGCACACAAAACATTTAACCAACGCTGCAAACATGAATATTTTATTTCAATACATTTGTATCAATTGAAAATAATCTATGTTTTATTTTGTTGTATTGAAAATGTAATGGAATTTTTTAATATATTTGTATTTTAATAGTAAATTAAGTATTTTATTTTGTCAAATTACACGTATAAGTGAATCTTGATATTACAATTATAGTTTATAATATCGTTTATTTTATTAAAGAAACATTCACTTCTTTTTATAAATTTGAAAAATTTGTATCTTTTATATTATATCGTAGTTTTTATGGGTTTTTAATTACCTTTATTTGCAACAGAATTAAGATAAGTTAACTTAAACTTAGTATAATTATTTACATAATTTCAATTAATTTCTTTAGCTATTTTGCTACAAAATCATATATTTGATTTATTTGTTACCCAAATACAATATTTTATTGACATTTTAATATAATTCTTCATCATACTATAGCAGTTTTCATATTTGCTCCTCATTTACATATTATTGCTAATCTATTATTTAAATTCACTATTGGATGCTAATAATGGTATGGGCTGACACGACCTATTGCAACTGATTGCTTTAGTCCCAGATAAAGAAAGTAGTTAGAGAAATTTTTTTCAACCAACTATAAAGAAGAGGAACTAGAGTTTTCTGCACTGTGTATACCGATTTCGTCGAGACTTTTGGACCGAATTGTATTATTATTTTTTAATAGAAAAGATAAATATATTAAAGTTGCATGATTTGTTTATAAGATATTCAAGTCTTTACAGTGAATTCAAATATGGTTGTTGATAGTGTTCACTAAAGATTGTTTCTAAAAAATTATGGTTTATGTTTAAAATGCAGTTTTAACAAAAGTATAGGTAAATAAAAATATCCATTTATATTTCCTTATAAAAATAAATCATATTTTATGTATAAACATATTAGATATTAGTTTATGTTGCCGTAATTTATAAATGCATTGCGAAGTTATTTCTCTGTTTGCCCAATGGTTGACTGGTAGGCCATTCGGCCCGATCCGTTCCGCCAAATGTTCATAAAATTACACAGTGCATTGAAGTTTAAATAAACAAATATATAAATACTTCTTACGCACAAAATACCACGATTACATTTGTGCACTGCTCTTTTGTTTCGTGACAAACAATTGCCTCTTATTATTTTATTTCACGACTGACCCTTTGTCCTCTATTGAAAAGTTTCAGCACCAAATGTTTCGAGCGTGGCTCCCGCATTTCTCTACTCCCATTTAGGCTCGGGACACTTAAAATAATTGCATTTTAATGAACGCGACTAGAACATGCTAAGTACTCATTAAACTGCCAAGCATCCATTAAGACCCGTTCTCCATTCAGTTCAATGCAAACGAAACAATGGCTTATCACTTTCGGTTTGTTTCGTTGTTTATTCTTGAGCGGCCTAACTAAAACATTAACGCGGAAACGTGCCAAGAGACAAAACGGGGAATACTCGTATTTTGATGAACCTAAATAAATAATAAGATTTTATTTTAGAGAACAAAATAAACGCTTCCTTATTTTGGGACATATTATGTTGATTTATATGTAAAAATTATAAAAAAGAAATTTGCCATGTGGTCCCGGCATAGAACAGGCTAACTCTTCCTTTCCCGTGGTTTTCGTAAGAAGCTAAGTAAGGACGAGCGATGGGTAACAGCGTTCCTCTTAAAACATCTCTAAAGCCTGTGGTTGCCAATCCGCCTGCTAAACGTGGCAACTACTGGAAAAAAACTCCCAAGGATTATGTTCAGCAAGGGACAATTAAAATCATCATATATGATGATGATTTATAAAAATAATTATAAATCTGAACTCGCATATGTCTTTTTATTTGTACGAGTGTATCTTATTTTAATGAAGTATTTAAACTACATATAAGGCTAAATTATATAAATACAATTTATATAAAATTGTAATAAATTTTAAGAAACTTTAACTAAAGAATTCTTTTTAACTAACTTAAAATAAAATGATAAGATTTTTCTTTTTCATTCTAATTAACAAAATTTTTTTTTATTATTTGTGAGATAAAATTATATAAATGAAATAAGTATAAATTTACAATACAATATTACTAATTAACTTATATAAGTAAATCTAAAACATAATCAATAAGAGAATATCACAAGAACATGATTGGAGAGACTAATTAATGACAGCAGTAGGCAATCAATCTTCTCTATATACTTCATAACATTCTGTTTGTATTATATGTTTAACTATATGTATACTTATATCTCTGTAATAAAATATTAATAATTAGTAAAATCTCCTCGTAACTTGAGGAGCTTTTACCCGCAACTTTGACCACCTGACTGAGATAAAAAAAGTTCTTTATCCTTCTCTTAAACATATAATAAGTATATATGGACTTTTCTATGCCGTGTGGTCTCGGCATAGAATAGTCTACCCCTTTCTTACTTGAGGGTGTTGTAAGAGGCGACTAAAGGAGGCCGAAACATCTCTCATCTGCCCATCGGCAGCAGCGTCGCTCTTAAAACATCTCTAAAGACTAATTGCAGTTGTCAATCTGACTGCCAAGCGTGGCAACTATTGGCCTACTACTAAATAAAGAAGTACATACAACAACATTGTGATTAGTTCAACCCTTAACACGCTAAAAAGTAACAAACAAACAAACTCACTTTCGCACTTATAATTTAAAAAAAAGATTAATAGAGACTGGTAGAGAATGCTACTAGCATTAAGTCCGTCTTTTGTACCATATTTTCTTTTAATCAATAAAGTTATTTAAATAAAAAATATATTAGTTTTAATTTATTTATTTACACTTTATTGCATCAAGTAAAAAGAGGAATAACAGATACAGTAAATATTAATGAGAAGTGATACAAAAGGCGGCCTTATCGCTAAGCAATCTATTCCAGACAACCTTTGGGTAGAGGACATTGGCGCACTATTCCCTTCGAATATTACCAAAGTATTTCTTAAATTAAAATTTCAATTTGATATCCTCGAAATTTTTATTATAAGGATTAATATAAACTCATTTTTAATAGATTTAAGTCAAAATTATTGAAATTTTAGTTTATAAATGCCCATAACACAGTAATTTTGCGAAACTTTTATATTAAAATATGAAGTTAAAAGATAGGTCAATATCAGTTTTTTTTTTATACGACGATGGAGGCAGACAGACATACAGCCTTTATAATAGTAAACGGTTACTGCAACCTATGGATACCTGCAACACTAGGCATGTCACGTGCGCGTTTCCAACCCTGAAGAAAAAGTTTCGTCTAGCAATAGTAATTTTTTATTTTGTGAAATATTTTTTCTGATTGATCAATAAGAAATGAATATGTTACTTATTATTGTAATCATAATGATGATTATTAAACTTTCTTAATTTGAACGTGAGAAACACTTTGCGAGTGCACTTAGTGCAAAATAAGTAAACAACCAGAAACAACTTAGAAGACGTCGTGCACCTAAATTAAGTCAAAGTTATTGGGCTTTACTTTGAAAGTAGCATAGCAGTAAAGCCAGCTATAGCCAGCTATAACTTTATCTGATACAGAATATGATTCCCAGTTTAAAGTGGCAAGTTACAACACGGCTTAAGTAGTTTGTACTTTACTAACATAACAGTAAGGATGTTTCTAAATTTCTGAAACAGAGAAGTTAAAAAATAATACTATTTTCTGTTGTGTATAATATATTTTTTATTTTATATTCCCACTTGCCAGTTGCAAACCGTTTTTGAGATTTAATTTTATATTCAATAAGAGTTCTTCCAGATTAGGCCCATAAAATTAAGTCGGTTGTTTTTGTATGTATGCTGCTGGGTTTAAAAAAGTACATGCTATTTTTTTTTGTATAAAACCAATGCTCTAAATCTTAATTTGAAATAAACATCCCAATAATTCATATTAATCGTAGAGTTCATAGACTCGCCGTATGGTCCCGCCATAGAATGGGCTACCCATAGGGAGAAGCCTACATTCAGTAGTCAATAATTAACGACTGATATTGTATGGTATATGTTTATCAACCGGAGTGATTCAATATTATTTAAAATTATTATAAATTTAAATCAACAGCGTAAGTAATTGTTAAAATATAGCACTGTGACATGGAGCGACATTATTTACCTCTTTTTATCTTTCTTGTACGGATCCTAAAAATAAATTGAAGAGAACACTGTCTAATACCTAAGTACTTACTTTAGGTGGAAAATTTACTGACGAACTGAGTTTCTCTCTTCTTATGTAATGTCTACCGCAGCAACTTATAAACTTTGTTTACTTTTTGTATCCATGAATTTTACAGCTTCGTACGGAACATTTGGGACACGCCTCCTACTTGTACTTGTTCCTCTTTTTACATTATATATCAGGTAAGCCAATATATTTTTCCTTGACATAGATAATTCATACATATTTTATTTAAATGCATTACAAATTTACCACGTCGAAAAAATATCATTGTTTCTTCATAGTTTAATATTTCTACTAAGGTGAATGTTACAAATTTGTAAATTTAATAAAATCAGTATTTCAACTCGTTCCAAGTCACGATGATTTCACCTCAATCGACATTACTGCAAAACTGATCGATATTACTGAAAAATTATTTACAGTAAAACTATTAAGAACTATAAACGTATATATCTAAGGCTGTTATTTGAGAAAAGAGACGTATAGCAGAATTTAATTGAGAAATGCCATAAAATAAAGTGGCAAACTTTACTCGTTTGAAGCGAGGCGAGGCGAAACCGCCATGACGAGTTGTGGAACTAACCTGAATGGTACGCTCTAAATTATTCAAAAATGTCACTCTGTCAGGCCGTTATTTTGTAGAGGTGATTTATTAGATGCGTTATTTAAGAGGTTAATGTCTTTGATATAATATTAACTAAAATAAACAAGTGTCCTTCGTATAGATTAACCTTTTTATGCAATATGAATTGGCAAACCAGATGGTCCACCATGATTGATAGAATGGCAATTATGAATAAACGTAAGTTATAAGAAATCAGACAATGAATATTGAAGGTATAGAACAAAATGGGCTAATTGTCCCAAGCGAAATTAGAAAAATAAATTTTCCATAACCGTTTAACATAACCGAAATATTTCCCTACTGACTTCCTGTTTATGTCCAATGATTTTTTTTCTACATGGGACAAATGTAGCCTACACATACAGACATGTTGTAAATTGTTGCATGATTCTTTCTACAAATTTCTTTACAAAGAAAAAAAAATACGATAAAAATTATTTCATGCCTATGTGGAAAACGTTACTGTTTACAGTACAAGCAGCAGCATCCTTCAAAAGGCGATAAAGGTCAATCTAACCAAGAAAGAAAGAAAGAAAAGGACATTGTCCCACTGTGTCAAATGTATACTTGCACCACAGATAATATAATTGCTGCACGAACACAATTCTGTTTTGTTTTTATTACAGCGATTAAAAACGTGAGCGGAAGATTTCCCCTCAACCGCATAATACTCGCTAACTATAGATAAAAGTCCTTCATGATTGTTATTAGATTGTTAAAAGAAACTTATTTACAGGAGTGGACAGTGACATAAATAATAGTTATGCTGAACAGTAAAGACAATATTTGTAAATATTTCGACAAACGATATTCATGTTACATAAAGGGTTATAAAAAAAAAGCAGAAATTAGATTGCTTTATTTAATTTCAACTGTAATACCAATTTCGTAAGGTTTATTATTATTTGAATTTTAAGTAACTGATTGCCTTATTCTGACAATTGCATACAATCTTCAACTAATTTCTGCATTCCTTCACAAGGAGCTTCATCGTCCCATTCTTCGCAACCCTGTAAACACAATTATGAATTTAGATACATCACAGATCTTTTTGTGTTTAAATTGCTAAAAACCTGGGGCGATTCTACCATAAATAATTTAACATTTTGTTTCACAAAAAGTAGAAATCAACCTGAACAAATTAATATAAAATCAACACGTAAATAATCTCTTTATATGAATAGACATAAGGTAACATAGTAGCTATATCAATATTACTACTTCTATATCCTTTATGTATATATATAAACAAACTAAACCAAATATACGAAGATGCGGCCAAAAGCCCGCATAAAAAAAAATATAATAATAAATTAATGTAATAAATCAATAATTAACGGCAATATATAAATATATACTTTTAAAGTACATTCGGGTTGCGCCCCTTCTCTATATTGAATTCGATTAGAAAATAAATCTTGTTTTATAATTTGCTAGATATCAGATAAAGTGATAAAACTCGCCAGTAATTGGACTATAAAAAGTGATTCCAATTAGTAAGTAATTAGCTTTCAGAGCTAGAATTTAACTATAATCCAACCATAGAAACGGTAATCGCGATAATATTTTGCGAGATATTCAGAAAGAAAATCATTCTCGATTCACTTTGTAAAACTAGAATGTTTTAAATTTTACTTGTGATGGAAATCGTTTTAAACAGATATGTTCCTTTTCAAAAGCATATACGAAAATGTGTGTAGCTACTCATATTATATTATCAAATAAGAGCTAATTATAGCTACAGTTCATATCTTATTACATATATATATATCCTGCCTGTCTCCCATTTGGGTAGGCAGAAACAATAGAACGACAAATGCTCCGATTCAAACAGACCTCTTTCGCGTCCCCACTTTCCTCAATCTAATAATACACCTATTGGTTGGCATACGTCCATCTAGGGCGGCCCCTATCGACAACTTCATACATTGGTGGTCAATAAATCTCTTTCGTAATTCTTCTTTCATTCATTTCATTGAAAAGGATTAGCTATACATCAGTTTTATAGTATACACTATAATACCCAAGACTTACTCGAACATGATAGTGTAGTCATAGTATATTTATATCTCAGCCGTAGAAAAACGATAGATGCATCAAAGCAAAATACATTTCATACAGGCTAAAATCGAAATCCTCGTCATCCTTTAAAGGAAGTGTTTCGCCAGCAAAATAATATTTTTGACAACAAACATAAGCTTAAAATAATAAAAATTGTGCTTGCCATACAACATAGAACGTCAACTGTTGAGTTAGTATGGAAGGCTCAAAATATTATATCATATTCAGACTTTTGATTCACTTTTATATCCTAATATGTTTTATCTTGGTAACTAGGCTCTATCATGGTAACATGGCAGAGCTAGGGGTACCAAGCATCCCAGAAGGGTTAAAGATCGTACTCGGTGCCTTGGGGAAGTCTATATCCAGCAGTGGACTGTAGTAGACCGTAGTAGTCATGATGACGATATTCTGTAATATAAGTAGATTCATAGTTTTAATACTAACGAAGTTCCTATTATACTTACTTTCAAATGCTGTGTATCCATACACATCTTTAATTTCATCACATCACACATATCCTCAGGTCCAAATTTAGTCAAATCGGTTCCCACACAATTATCTAAAATCAATTCCTTTAGCTCATTGTTTTCTTCAAAATCATTTTCAATAACCATAGCTAAAGCGTCCTTATCTATTTCTCCATCGGCCGAAGCGAATCCCTTCTTATTTGCAATACATAGTTCTCGTTCACACTGAAAATTGCAAAAAAAATATTTTATAAATTTATTTTGCATTTATAAATTTATTAATACGGACTACCAATCCCATTATTTGCTATATACCCTGTAAGGTCGATCTCGTGGTTGCCCTGGTGATTGCCATCACGATGAGCTAACTGACCTGTCTTTTCATTCTCATCTATCATCCCTCAATGGTGCACCGCCAGCGTATACCAATAGCGCAGGCGGGGTTACATTATCATTTATTAAAAAAAAACCTGTATGTATTTTATTATGAAACAAATATCAAGTCCGTACATTTTTTATTTATATTTATAGTTAGGTATCCGATAATACAATAAATAAATAAATAATACATTATAAACTATCCAAAGCAGACATCAATTACTTTGCAAAACTATTGTTTTTTTACGACTTCACGACCTTCCGCGACCTCTTTGTAGAGGCTTGGGAAGTCCCAGAGGATCGTGACTTACACATTGAAAAATACTACTATAAACAAACGGAAAACAAATTAATATTTTATACCACAAAACAAACCAACTTATGTTCTGGCAAAATTAATATGGTACTTACAAATGCAAACTTTATCATTTATTAAAAGAATAATGAAAATTTGTTCAGTTGGGAAAATATCGAATACTATTATGCTTAATATATTATTTGCGAAAGTTTGTAACAATTTATGTATGGATGGATGTTACCCTTTCACGCAGTAACTACTGAACGGATTTGAATGAAATTTGGTACACACATAAGTTATTATCGTAACTTAGCATAGGTATATGACACTTTACGTACTGATTCATTCGGACGGAGTAGCAGGATATTACTATTAACATAAAAATATGATCGAATTCTTTTCGTTTTGAAACATTGGTTTTCATTGGAAAACCACACTTACCGGGTCCAATTTCTTAGATGAATGGAAACATTCTTTCAAATTCAAATCATCAGTATGTGTTCGTCGATGGAAACCGTGTAGTTTCCCATGATGGCGGATCCCCTTTTTACAACAAAACTTCACAGCCTAGAAAACGTAATTAGATAGTTGTCACAATTATATCACACTTACAAGAAGTTTAACATGTAATTCAACATTATCATCATCAGATCAGCCTTTAACTGTCTACTGATAAACATAAGCCTCCCCATTTGGGAGTTTTGCCACAGTTTGGTAACCGCAGTTAAGCTTTAGAGATGTTTTAAGAGGGACGCTGCTGCTCATCCGTCGCCCTCAATTAGTTGCCTCTTACGACATCCATAGGAAAGGAAGGGGAGGCCTATTCTATACCGGGACCACATGGCGAAAAACACATAATTGGGTGTACAAATGACCTGATTGCCTGAAGTAACTTTTGTTGAGAAAATTCGACTAATTTCTAGATCATCCAGAATGGAAATACACCTAAATTAATTTGTTTATTTATATTTTTACAATTAAAATATAATATATGTTAAAAACACTTTAAACGTTCATTGCGTATTGTTAGATTCACTGGATACTTGTCTATTTGTATTCATTTTTTTTTTATTATTCGCTTATACTGTGCATTTACATTTCGTATACTCGTGATATGATATGAAATATAAGTACACAATATAAAAAGGTCTTAATCATCGTTCACTGCTGAACATAGGCCTCCTCCATAAGGTTCTATGGTTTTGGTTCCCCATATGGTTCTGGCAGTAGTTGTTACGCTTAGCAGGCAAGTTAGCAACCGTAGTTAGGCTTTGGTGCCGTTTTAAGAGAGACGCTGCTGCCCATCCCTTGACCATTAAGTTCCCTTAGTCGCCGCTTACGACACTCATAAAAAAGGTAGGGATGATCCATTCTATGCCGGGGCCACACAGCCAATAGTACAACGTATAATATGAAACATTATTTACTTACTGTATATAATATTACAAAAAGTATATAAATAATAATACTTACAGGATGCGTAATAATTCTGGAACATTTTTTCTGTTCTTCACTGTCATCACCCTAGATGTAGGAAATAAAATAAATCAATAATTATATTATTTTTTTTATGTTTTTTTTTATACAACTTAGAATGACAAATAAGCTGACGGCCCACCTTATGGGAAGTGCTAACCGTCGCTTATAGACATGAGCAGTACTATGGATATAACAGAGTATACTGTTTCGCCCATGATACCCCCCCCCCCCATGCGTTGCCATTCCTGAGGACTCAGATGTTATTCCTCTGTACCCTGTAAATTCACTGCCATATCTCACCCTTCAAACCAAATTGATTAAACTATAAAATATATTTTCAAAAATAAGATGTATTTATTATAATTAGTATGTGAATTTCATCTTCTATATTTTATCTTTATATATTCACGCCAGTTCTATTAGAAGTAAGCGAACTCTTTTTTATCTTCTAATATATAACATTAATATATTTATTTACCAGTATTAACACAGCAGCGAATGTCACAAGTAGAAATACACGATACATGGTGCTCAAAGATCTATGTAATGTCGATTTACCAACCATGTCATTTTATATAGTATGCAAAACTCATCATACTGTTTACTCATCGAGATTAAATAGCAGAAAATTGGGCTTATTCACACCACTAGAAGAGCATATTATTAAAAAATAGCCAAGGACCTAACCGACAGTCTTGAATAGGGTTTCATAACATTTGTTTTATTTTCAATCGATTTAAAAAAGATAAGGAATTTCGCAATTTAGTTGTATTTTTTTATGCTTTTTACGTAACAACGATTCATACAAGTTTTAACAATTTAGAAAAATCCACTTTTATCTAAGAGTATACATTTTAAATTATATTATTACTACAGAAGTTTTATTTTTAAACAAAAATAACTTGTTTCCTCCATCATTAAAGTCGGTTTTTTTAGAACACAATCTTAAATTATATTTATTCATATCAGACAGCCTGTTATTATGTATCTATTAATTCTTTTTAATAAACATATCACAGCTACTTATAGTAGATAATATGAAATAATATATAAAAAATATTAGAGTATATACTGAATTAATATACATATTACATTAATTATTGTTTTATTACCACAAATTTACATAATACAGCTAATTTATAAATAAAAACAAAATGCACAAATATAATATTATCAGATTTCTTGTCATATTAAATGTTTTTAAAAATTTATATTCAGAACATATATTAAGTATATGACAATATTATATATACTAAAAGTTATCTACAGACTCCTTTAGGTGATTCATCTTTAGATGATTATGTTTTTAAATATCATGTTGTTAAGGTCAAAAACGTCATTAGCGTATGTATTTTAAGTATTAAAATATGGCATTACATATAATAATCATGAAATCACAGGAAACATCATAATTGGTTAACAGCTCTTTGTCGTGTAGAATACTAAAGGTAATTTCCCTGATTTTATGTATTAATTGAAGTTTCATAATAACTAAATCTCTGAAATTACTGATTCAATTTCCATTACTTAAATTATGCCATTTTTAAGCACCTTCCGAATGAAAGTGTTTCTCAACTGGTTTGTATTTTCTTCTATCATTATGTGATTACATCTCTAATTTTGAACATTTTTAATATAATTTACATACTTTATTAGTAACGTAAATTTATACGAAAAAAAAAACGAATGTACAAAGGCAAGCTTAAATTTTCTTCAAGCAAACCTTATGTGGAAAGACATTCATGTCAGCGGGTAGTAAAGTGTACAATATGTACATTTTACGAACAAAATCACTAAAAATAATAATAAAAATAAAATTGTTATCATTAAAATAACATCACACATATTATTCTTTTTGTATAATAATAGAAAAGCTGAAATTTGCTTTTTATGTCCTCAAAACTAATTTACTTTTACCTAACTAAGAGAGAATTAGTTGAGATGTTAGCTTACCTTGTATGGCATAACGGCATTTTTATAAGGAACATTTTGGAACGAAATCTAACCGAAACACAGCCATGCAAACACAATTGCTTCATGGTAGAGACACGAATGGGACAGAGGTGCCCAAGCAAACTACTTTTGTACAAAATCTCTCTCAAGTGCCAATAATCACGATTATTAATATACTTTTTTTTAGTTGCCCCGATAAACGGAAACTCTTAAATTGCAAAAAAAATTAAGTATACTTCAGTGGAGTTTGAACGTCGGTTTCAATATAATTTTAACTGTTACCTGACAGGTTCTCAGGGCTAGAATTAATTACAGTCTAATTGATTTATTACCATGAATTAAGCTAATTCAAGTTCATAATTCCTAGGGAAGTTAGTATCGAAAATGTTAAAGTAACCTAGTACTTAATAATAGATAGAATAAGGCTGGTTTTCATTTAAAACTTTGTTGTTTTCGAGAAACTTTCTTCTTTTAAATGTTGGTATAACCAACAATAAGTGCTTAGTTCATGTTTGTGCACATTTTAATTATAATGTAGTAACTACCGATTTACCTGTCGTGTAATTAGTTCGAAAAAGCTCGACTAGTTTCGGGATCAATTCATGATCCTTAGTCATGAGTGAATTTGTTTTTTTTTAATTTTGATTTTTTATTTTTATTTTTTACTTCTAAAACTTATTAACGTACAGTAGTAAGTGTTACAACCAACCATGAGGTGAGCACGAGCCTAAGTACATTCACTAACTATGAGCCAATTTTAATGATTCCCATCTGAATGAAAGTGGTTTTCCCCATATAAGATCAATATGGAAAAACAAACATTTTTTTTAATAATATTCCATTTTCTTAAAACAATAATCTTAATTATGAGCAATATTTTTTAATATACTTATCAATTAACTATCGTTTTATTATAAAATTTTTAAAATCATATTCTAATTATTGTAGTATTAAAAACATTTCAACACAGACAAGGAACCCGTACCTTCTAACACCTTAATTGAGACCAATGCTCTGATCAGTTGAGCTACCATTATTAGACGCTCGAAATTGACAACCGCTACACTTGATTACACAATATAAATTCATTGAGTATGTCTAAAAATCTAATTTGAATAACACAAGTAGGTACCCACATATTGGTAGTTGTCAACAAAGATAAAAGTTGATTTGGTGAAGGTATAAATTTGAAATTCATGAGATCAGAGATCGATATATGTTATTTGTGTATGTTATATATTTTTACTGTGTGTATTGTATATCTATATCAATATTATAAAGAGGAAATATTTGATTGCTTGTTTGTTTGTTATGGATAAAGTTAAAAAATTTGAACAATTTTCACAGTTTTAACAGAACAATGTGTAAAAAATTACATTATTAGCAAGTATGGATATATGTATATTATTAAAAAAAAAATGAGATCCCTATAAAACTTACAATAATGCAAACCAAAGTATAAAAAAATTTGCTCTTGTGCGAAGCCGAAGTAAATAACATATTTTACTGCGTTAAGTCAAACTTTCAAATAACAATTAAAAATATTAATAAAAATTTATTATAAAATTTTAAATAAGGAGAAGGTTCTCATTTCGCCTATATTTTTTGTATGTATTTTATGCAATATGTTCAGAAATTAATAATCCCGTGTTTAGTCCCATATCATCATCATCATCATCATATTAGCCTTTAACTGTCCACTGCTGAACACAAGTCCCCCCTTGAGGGGCCATAAGTTTATTTGTAGTAGTAGTTTGCCAGTAGTTGCCACGTTTGACAGGCGAATTGGCAAGCGCAGTTAGACTTTAAAGATGTTTTAAGAGGAATGCTGCTGCCTATAACTTGCACTCCCTTAGTCGCGTTTTAAGACAGCCACGAGAAAAGATGGAATAGCCTATTCTATGCCGGGACCATACGGCCAGTCCCTTATACGATTTGATAATTATTTTAAAAATTAATAGAATTATCCCATATTAGTTTATATAAATTTTGAGACTAAATAGTCTAGTAATAATAATAGTAATTTAAATAAATCATCGTTTTTCTTTCCTCAGGAAATTTCCTTTTTGAATTGAAGTCTAATTATCTTTTTTATGGAGCAAAACTTATTTCAAAACTCTTTTACTACATACTACCTTTAATAGTCATTATATAAATTCCTGAAATGTAATTAAAAGGACAAACAGAAAAACAAATTTAAACAAGCGTAAATAACGAGGGTCGCAAAGATGTTTAGGTATAACAGATGCTTTGTTCCAATGAACATTGGTATATACCGACATAGGACAAGATAGTGGGACACAATAAATTACTTAAACAAAATACCAGAGAGAGACTTTGTACAAAAGTCGTTTGCTTGAGCACCTCTGTCCTATTCGTGTTTCAACCGTGAAGCAGTTGTGTTTGCATGGCTGTGTTTCGGTTTGAAGGGTGGGAAATGGCTGTGAATTCACTGGGTACAAAGGAATAACACCTGAGTCTTCAGGAATGGCAACGCCTGGGAGGTTTCATGGGTAAAACAGTATATTCTATTATGTCCATGGTATTACACATGGGCCGTCAGCTTGTTTGCCATTTTAAGTGACATGAAAAACAGTTTATATAAAATATAATTCTAGATAAATGTTGATATCCCATTATGGTTTTTTTTATACCACAAAGGTAACAACTAAGCATACAGTCCTTCTGATGGTAAACGGTTACTGTAGCCTATAGACGCTTGTAATACCAGGAAAATCACGTGTGCATTACTGACCTTAACAAACCTTATTACACCCCTTTTGAAGAGCCCTGTGCTGTAGTCTCTAGGGAAAAGCTCGGCAGGAACATCATTTTACAATCTGAGCGTTAACGAGAGAAAACTCCTCTGAAATCGCACTTTGTGTCATCATTTTGATTCCAGGGTATGAGGATGAATTCCCTAGCGATAACGAGCTGTGCGATGGTAAAAGGTGGTTGTAAGCATTATGGGCGACAGAAAATCCAGGTATGGAAATTAGAAATATGTGTGTATTAACAGAAGAAACTTAAAAGATGAAAGGGCCTTGAAGGAAAGCCAAAAGAAAACAATATATTTGCATGTAAATTTCGAATTTGGTAAATAATAATATAAAAACTATAAATAATATATGTGACCTGTACTGTAAGGCATCATACCGGAAAGTTCTTTAAAACACATTTCGTTATACAAGCGATACAAAGGGAAGCAAAGTCTCATCTTAGACTAAGGAGCTCGTATCGTGTATCGTGTAGTATAGAATCGTGCGTTGCAATTCCTGAGGGCTAAGATATTTCTCCTTTCCTTGTAATATCACCAGTATTTTCCCACCATTCACAGTGAAAGACAAAGAAAGACATGCAAACATAGCTGCTTAGCGACAGAAGCACGAGTGCAGACGACTTTTGTACAAATTGTTCCTTAACAATATGTCCCACCTGTTCGTCCCATTAAAAAACCTCATTTGTCAGGTCATAGCCTAACAATAATAGAGTCACTCGTTTTAATACTCGTACATCACAGTCAATTATCTGCTTCCTTTATTTATTCGCTCGAAAAACTAATTATTGCGAAAAAGGCCTAGTGATACGCCGTCCCTTTACTAAGGGAAATATAAACGAAACCATTTTCATTAATGATTT